GAAAGTACAAGAGGTCATCCCGGACAAACATGAAAACCCGTCTCATTTCCTAGAATGCTTCACAAAGGCCCTCTTACAGTATACCAATCTACACCTTGAAAAATCAGAGGGCAAACAATTCTTCAGACCTATTTCTTTCCCCAGAGTTTTCCCAACATTAGTGTCAAACTCCAGGGCTTGAAGAGAAGACTGCTAACTCCACAGGCAGAAGTCTTGGCACTGGCTCTTAAGGTGTACCATGGGGGATGGGGGCATGAAAAAGCCTAACCAAATGCTGGCCAAGGTCATTAAACCAGCTTCAGCAACTGCCTGGACTTTCTTGCTTCCCGAGTTTGAGGACCACCAGTTACTTGCTTCAAATGTGATCAGGAGGATCCCTGGCCCTGGGCCTGCGCTAAACCAGACAGACTATCCTGGCCATGTCCAAACTACTATCAAGAGGAACATTGACTGTTGACTGCTCCATATCTCTTACAGCATAGGGACTGATATCAGATCCAGATTGCTCTCCACTCTAGATGTCTTGGGCATGGCCATGGACAGCTGAATGGTCCTGGGCTCCCTTGCTCCATCCACTGTCATTTCTAACAGGGAGCTCCAGGTAGTCGTTTCAGTATCAGGGCAGTCCATCACCTTCTTCTTGGTCCTGATGGAGCTTTGGAATCCACCTTTCCTTCAAATGTCCCTATTGTCTGGGTAGGAGACAGCCAACCTTGCCAGACTCCACCAGTCAGTTGCATTTTCAGGGGTGTTCTCTCCTTCCTTCCTGGTGGTGCCAACTGTCCTATTCCCTTATTGGGAAGGGATCTTCTAGCCAAAGTAGGAGCCTGTATTTTGTTCACCTCCCCAATTCTCCTGACCCTAAGCTCACCAGCAGCCCCTCTCCTTCTTTCCTTAGTCACCCAACCTATGAGTAACAACATATCATTTCTTTTGCCAGCCTCTCAGGTGGACCACCAAGTCTGGGATGCCCAGTACCCCTTTGTGGCCAAACATCATTCCACTCTTATCATCCAATTGTAAGATGCTACCTGGCATATCATCTAAGTCCAGTATCCACTCTAGCTCCAGCACCTCAGGGGACTTAAGTCTAAAATCTCTGGCCTCTTAAGAAAAAATAATACTTTGCCCCATATCATTCCCCTTTAACACCCCTATACTTGCAGTTAAAATCTCCAGTGGTGTCTACCACCTGGTTCAAGATCTCCAGCTTGTCAGCTCTGCAGGGGTCCCCTCTACCTTATCATGGCTAGCCCTTACACACTCCTTTCCATTGTTCTCTCAGGAACCTTCTGTTTCTCAGTTCTGGACCTCAAGGACTCTTTCTCTATCCCCAAAAACATTCAGTAACAAAACATCTTTGTCTTCACCTGAATTGACACCCACATCTCTACCAAATTCACCTGGATTATCCTATCCCAGGGATTCCAGGACAGCCCACACCCATTTAGCCAGGCCTTGACCTCTGATCTCTCTTTGTCTCTCCACAAATCTAAACTTACATAGCATGTAGATGACCTTTTCTTCTGCAGTCTGTCCCTACAAATTGGCCAAACTAACACCTCTGCTCTTCTAAATTGCTTGTCCAGCTGGGGCTATGGAGTGTCACATTTTAAGGTCCAACTTCCCACACCTCAGGTCACCTACTTGGGGGACTAACCATGACTCCAAACCATAAAGATATTATCTTAGACAGAAAACTCCTAATTCCATTCCTTCTACCAAAGAGGAGATAACGCTATTCCTAGGAATAGCTAACTCCTTATACTCCTGGATCTCCTTTTATTTTCCTGCTTGCCCACTTACATGAGGTAACCCCCATGAATCCCTTCTCACTCTTATTACCAAACCCTTTCATACCCTGGCACTACACTCCCCATACCTAACCTATCCCTTCCCCCTCTATGTAACAGTAAAAGAGGGATGTGCCCTCAGGGTCCTGGACTACCAACTTGGACTTTGCACCCATGGCATACCTATCAAAAACCTTAAGGCATTGCCACCCAAGGATATCACCCTGCAATGTGCTGTAGTAGCTGCCAAGCTCCTCATTCATGAATCAAAAAAACTAGCTTTCAGGTTACCTACTACTGTCTTCTCCTCCCACATCGTGTCTCAACTCCTAATGTATAAAGGCTTGCAAACTCTACCTCCCCTCCGGGTTCTTTCTTTACAGGTAGTTCTATAGAAGATGCTGTACTTACTTTCCAATCATGCCCATCCCTCAACACCTCAGATCTTCTTCCATGACCAAACACTGACCACTCCTTATCTCATTTTTCCACTGAAACTTTAAAGCAACTACTGTCCCATCCCTCACACATACAGCCTCAGACAATCTACAGCTGATACACAGATGGCAGCTTCTTTTTACATGAGGGAGCCCAAAAAGCATAGTATCCCACAGTTTCAGATACTGAGGTGGTTGAGATATAATACCTCCTTGCTCATACCACTACTCTGCCCACACCACAGCCTGAACTAATAGCTCTCATCCATGCCTTCCAATTGGCACAAGGGCAATCTCTAAATATCTACAGACTTAAAATATACCTGTCACATTCTCCTGTCCCCTGCTGCCATCTAGATAGGGCACAAACCACTCACAGCAAAAGGAGGATCAATAACCAACTCAGACCAAATCATGGCCATGATAAAGGCTTCCTATCTCCCCATGACTATAGGATTTTTTCACTGTCAGTCCTACCAGATCAACAATTCCACCATCTCTAGGGAAATAAGTGACCAGACAAGGTGACTAGAGGTGCAGCCCTTGCAGACCTAGATCCATCTCACCCACCCAAGGACATCATTGTATTACAACATACAGCTTCACTGTCACCACCACTCCCAGCAGACACTATTCCAATTCTGTCCTATCTAGACCTGCTCTTTCATCCTAACAGTGAAGCCTTGTCTCACTTCCTTAAGGCCCACCTGCAGCCCACCCTTGATGATTTGTCTTTCTTAAGGACTATTGATACCTCTTTTTTAAATCAGTCAAGTGTCAGACCCTAACTCCAGTTACCACAGTACCCATTTCCTACTCACCATGCCAGAGATTCTCTCCCTGAAACTAACTGGCAACTTGACTGTATCCATATATCTACAGTCAAACGCATAAGGTATCTCCTGGTCTTGGTGGACAGCTTTTCAGAGTGGGTGAAGGCATTCCCCATCACCAACAAAAGGGCTCAGACAGTCTCTGACCTCTTCCTCTGGAAGATCATTCCTTGCTTTGGAATCTCCACCGACCTCCATTTAGACAATGGTACTGAATTCACCTCCCAGATTGCCTAGACATTTTCACATTCCAAACCATCCCCAGTCCTCAGGAAAGAGCAAAGGAACTAACAGCTCCTTAAAAAATATCCTTGTGAAACTCTCACAGAAACCTCACCTTCATTGCGTAAAGCTCCTGCCACTGGCTTCTCAGGCTACAGGCTCTCCCCAAGCAACGTACTTCCATCTTACTGTTTGAGCTCATGTACAATCAGTTCTGACCCCTGTCTTTCACCCAAACCCTCACCTCTCCCTGGCCACCTACTCATCTACTTAGTCTGTCACCTCCACTACCTCCTATAGAACTACACTGACATCTATGTACCCTGGCCATACACCAATTCCTTTTCCATACCCAGTCAATATTGAGAATCTGGTTCTTCTCTTCCCTTTGGAACAATGTCCCTTGACCCTTTCCCCTAAATGGAAGGGTCTCTTCAAGGTAATTTTTGTAACTCCCACAGCCACTAAGCTGGATAGTCTCCCTCATTGGATCCACCTATCTTACCTCAAGCCACTTCTGTTAAGAAAACTTCCCTTCCTACACATCAGCCCCAACAGGACCCTGCTCCCTGAAGTTTTAGAGGACACTAAGGTCTAGTACTTTGTCTTCTGTTACAGAAGAATGAGGCTTCAGCCAAGCAGTCACTCTTTACCCTATTGGATTGGACATAGACTTTTCTCCTTTCTCTTCTGTCTGCTTCTGTCCATTACAACTCTTACATATGGAGATTTGAGGTTCAAGAAGCCCCCACTCCTAGCAAACAGTACTTCTAAGTAGTGTTGGGAAATTGTTCCATAGAAAGCTGTCAGGAGCCAGTTATAATTCCCATTTCCCCTGTATCTGCCCCTACTCCCTCAATCCATGATATTTTCTCCTGCTTCCTCTATAACCAGACAGAAGGCTATTGTAAAGAATAGCCAGACATATGGAGGCTGTTCATACTGGTCTTGTTAATACCATGTACAGCATGTGCATTCTCATTCGAGTTCCTCCTCCATCAGTGAAATGGGATCCTTCACTTCTATATCATTGACCAATGGGATCCTAGATGGGAAATGATGTTACTGGTAAGTTCTACTGTTTCTTCAGCCCCCAATACATGGCGTTCCTGATTAAAACCCAGAGAACCTGAACTCAACCACCTAGAGATAGTATACAGGAGGCAATTCAACATTAACTTGTTTAACATCCCTTCTCCTAAATACAGACCTATCTGCTTTAGTCTTTGACCATGAACTACCAGTTCCATATTGTCACCCAGCCTGGATGCTTTGGGGATTTCTGGCTCCTCCTGGGACTAGCTCACAACTTGTACATAATCCTCTCCTGCGTAATAACCTTACTTCACCATTCGCCACTGCCCCAAGTCCAAGTCCACCACTCTCTACCTTTTACATATCATCCTCTTTGGCATCTAAGGCATCTAAGACACATTTTGTAGGTACAATAAGTTTCTTAGACTGCAATAAAATCCTAACCTTCAGCACTGTCTCAGTCTCAGGGCCCTAACGATCACAAAGTGTCATTTCTCTGCAGTATTTAAGTCTACCATTGCCTACCTAACAAATGGAATTTGTGCACTAGTATTTCTCTTCCCCAAGTTGGGGGTGATACATGAAGAAGAACATTTACTGATTCCCCCTACTGATTCTGGTTGTAGATTCAATAGCTGACCAACATAATAAAAATGTGGTTCAAATTCTGCCTCTTCTAGCTATTACAGGAATAACTTCAGGTGTCACCATTGGGACTGTGGAACTGATCACCTCTGAACACACATCACCAGCTTTCTTCCCAGTTCATCGAGGACCTCTGACAGGTGACCCAACCATCCTCACTCTTCAAGAACAAATTGACTCCTGGTCAGAAGTATACTCCCAAACCAACTGGGACTCGATCTCCTTACAGCTGAAAAAGGCAGCCTTTGCCTCGTCCTCTGAGAGGAACACTGATTTTATGTCAGTCCATCAGATAGAGTAAAAAACAAAATCCAACAACTTCAAACAGACCTCCAAAGATGTAAGGAACAACTCAATGTCTCAGCCTCTGAGCCTCTGAGAACCACATATGGAATTAGATACTGCCTTCCCTGATCCCTCTCCTTTTCATTTTTCTGTTTTTATTAATTGTACTCTGCTTTATCAATTTCTTCTATACATTTCTTCAATGACACATTCAAAGAATCTCTAATCCAATAATTAACCAGTCATTTTTACAGGACTACCAATTCCAAGCCACAGAGCTGGCAGCTCATAACTACTGAATATGTCCTGATGGTGAGGACCAACAGTGCCCCAAAGATACCAACACCTGAAGACAACAGGAAGCAGTCTAAAGGGCATAGCACCCTCGTGCTCGCCTCACCAGCCACCTCTTCCTATTTCTTTACCTCTTATAATAAACAAAAGGGAGGGATACTGGTAAACCAAGAAGAACCCACATTTCAGAACAGGTGCCCCTCCATCCCCCACCCCAACTACAGTGACTCAGTGTGAGTGGCCTCTTCATCAATAGCAGTAAATGCGACACATTTCCACTGTTCCGATGGTTGTGTTTTCCCTATGTGCATGTTCTGTACCTCTTATAAAGCCCCCCACCACCACAGCCTGCTCTCTTTCTTTCTTTTCAATTCTGGCTCAGAGGCAGTCTTTTACATATAACTCCTGCCCCAATAAATCTCTTGCATGAGATCTTTTGCATGGTATGATTTTGTGCTATTCCTTGACCTTCTGACCACTGCAAAACAGCAATATCCAGGTTCTCATGTCAGCTGCTTAGGAGAGGTCACCAGGGCATTTTTAACTGCTCTGGAACTTGGAGAGCCATTAAACAGCATCTGTTCATTAATCAAGGCTTTCCCACCAGATGATGGAATATCCATTCAAAGTTGGTAGTGTCCCAGAGTTAAAAGCTGCCATGTGGACCCTCCCTCAAAGTTCCACAATTAAAGCAGGCTCAGACTAGAGGGGATTGCTACTCTTTGTCTGTAACCATTCCATCCAAGGAAAGTCAGGCTACCTTCTCTCTTTGTTATGTCAGCAATTTACCAACAGAAAGATACCTTGGACGTGGGGTATGGCAGAGGTGCAAGAATAATTCATAAAACAAAATCAGGCTGCAGAGTTGCTCCCCTGAGGTTCTACCCTATGTGGGAAAATGTTGAGCACACAAGAGCCCAGAGCCAGCTGTTTGGACTTTGTGTGGTAAGGATTTGCTCTCTGTTTTGGAGTATCATTGTGTCTTGGCAGGAAGAGTTTGGGAAATTGTTGGAATTATATCTCTACCCTCTTCTCATAATCATTTAGTTTTATTTTTAATTCGTTAGCCAGTCACCAAAAAGACTGGGTATTTCAAAGTTGTATATACTAGGTTTTATCATATACTAAATCTGTTATAAAAATTAATGCAACAAACAAGCTTAAAAAGAATGATAATACTTCATAATTAATAATCCTCTGGCATGCCAGAGGTCCTCAAGAGGAAGGGAACTTGAGAGAGGCTGTGACCCACACCTGTTAGTCATGGTACTCCTTAATACATTCTCATAAAGGCAGAGACCTAATGACCTAAATATCTCTTAACATCTTCACTTTACCTAGCTCCACTTTTTTAAAGCCAGTGTTGAATTAGTTTATTTTACAATAAACTATATTAATTTATTATACTGAAAATAAAAAGCTTTTGATACTATCTAGAATTGTTGTATCTCAGTATATCACAGTGTAGATGAAATCTCAACATGTATTGTTGTGGGGACATTCAAATCACAGCAATGCACATTTTAATGTTTACACAGATGTACACATAATTTATGTATGTATGTGAATCAATATGTTTAAATAACATATGCACACTTATTTATTTATTATATATATCAGAAAGGCCAACAATATAGACTAGAAAGGAAAATCCACATGGCACCAATACTCAGAAGTCTACTGCCTATTCTCTTCAAGGTCTCATATTCTTTGGTTAAGATCATTTTCAAAAATCGGCAAAACTGTTTATCACTAGAGATGCTTGCTGCCCACCCTGGCCAACCTAAGTTCAATTCCTGGAATCATATGGTGGAAAGAGAGAACTGCTCCAGCAAGTTGTTTCTGACTTTCGCATATACATTTGCCATGGCACATTCAACCCCCAATAAATAAATAATCAAGTAAATGTGAACTTTTTAAAGTTAACATCATGATTAAGTTGTTTTAAAAACTGTTAAGAATGCTTGTATTCCCAACTTCTTTGTTCCCGCTTTCAATAAAAATTAAGCTTCTTAAGGCAGTTAATAGACAAGACATCCAGAGTTTGTGTGTATCTGCATGTGTGCTTCTGTCTATGGTTGGGTTTTGTTGTTGTTTTTATTTAATTTAATTCTTATTTTTTAACAGCAGTATTCAGTGTGTGTTGCTCTTTTGTGCTTCTGTTAATCAAGGAAGAATCCACTGAATGATATTTGGAATAGTAGGTTTAGGCAATAAATTCCCATCTGATGACCAGCGTGAGAAACTTTTCCAAAGTGTTCCATGATCTGAGCACCTGCTGGGAGCTCAAACCTGCTGTACAGCTTTGTCATCTGACTGCTGGCAGGCCCATCCTTCTGAGCCCGTACACCTTTCCTTAGCTCCTAGTTCATGCTCTGGAGCCTGGGACCCACAGGGCAATGTTCCCAAGTGCAACACCCTATGCTGGGTTTTCGGCATATCGTGAAACCTGCTTATTGAATATGCTTCAGTAAGCTATGGGTCACATAATTCCCACAATGTACTTCCCTTTTGATGAGTTAGATGATTGCTTCACAGGCTTTAATTTCACTGCGGTTTGACGTACCTAAACATTAGCGCTGTCACTCTCTGGGGATAGCTGCTGGTCACTCAGGATTCTAATGTCACTCTAAAAAATCAGATGTGGAGTGGATGCACTCATCCCAATGGCTTTTTAGTTAAGAAACTGACAGGTTAACATGAGCATGTTTGCACTGTGGGAAAGCATTCTACTCAGAACAAAATGAAAGAGCCACAGACAGACCTTCCAGAGTGTTTTCCCTTTGTCTTATAGCTTATTCTGCACTGCTTTGGAGAGAGGCAATTCTTTTTTTTTTTCATATATTTTTTATTTAACTTTTTACGCTTGTCACTTTCAGTTCCCTCTCCCTTTCCTCCTCCCCCACCCCCAATGCTCCCAACCCCTCACCCCTCATTCCATCCCCCCCTCCGCTCACCAGCTAGGGCAAGGGCCTCCATGAGGGATTTTCAGGGTCTGTCACATCATCCTGGGAAGGGCTCAGGTTCTTCCCCGTGTGTCCAGGCTGAGAGAGCATCCTTCCACATGGTATGGGTTCCCAGAGTCCTTCTGTATGCCAGGAATAAATACTGCTCTGCTCTCCAAGGTCCCACAGATTTCCAAGGTCTCCTCTCTGTCACCCAGGTTTGGTGGGAGGGTGTTTGCATCAGTCCCATGCTGGCCCCTCAGTCATCAGACTGGAGTCCATGTGTTCTCCCTTGTTTAGGTCAGCTGCCTCTGTGGGTTTTGCCAGCCTGATCCTTATTCTTTTGGTCATCACTCTTCTTTGCAACTGGGTTCCGGGAGTTCAATTCAGTTCACAGCTGTCGCTGTCTGCCTCTGCCTCCATCAGCCACTGGATGAGAGTTCTAGGATGGCATATAAGTTCTAGGATCATTCTCATCATGAGAGGGCATTTAAGGAAGCCTTAATGCCAGTTGGTGTCATTCTTGTAGATCTGTGAAGATCTCACTAGTGCCAGATCTCTCCTCCAACTTATACTGGCTCCCTCTTTTATGGTATCTCCCATCCTTTTCTCCTCTATTACTCTGGTTCAACCTTCCTGCTCTCCCATGTCCTCCTCTCCCCTCCTCTTTTCTCCCTCTCTTTCTCCCATTTCCTTCTACCCTCCCCTTCTCCCCCACCCCCCAATCCAATTAGGAGATTGCATCCCTTAACTCTTCTCCAAATTACCATGCATATCTCTCTTAGGGTCCTCCCTGTACCCCAGACTCTCTGGCGGTGGGATTGTGGGCTGGCAATGCCCTGCTCCATGTTTAAAATCTATATATGAGTGAGTACATACCATGCTTGTCCTTTTGTGACTGGGTTACCTCACTCAGGATGGTTTCGTCCAGTGCCATCCATTTGCCTGTAAATTGCAAGATTCCATTTTTTTTCTGCTGAGTAGTACTCCATTGTGTAAATGCACCACATTTTCTCTATCAGCTCTTCAGTTGAGGGGCATCTAGGTTCTTTCCAGGTTCTGGCTATTACAAATAATGATGCAATGAACATAGTTAAGCAGATGCCCTTATTATATGAGGGTACATCTTTTGGGTATACGCCTAAGAGTGGAATTGCTGGATCTTGTGGTAGACTGTTTTCCATTTTCCTGATGAGTTACATTAGTAGCCAAACCACACAAAGATACAACCAAGATAAGGAATTACAGACCAATCTCCTTCATAAACATTGATTCAAAAATACTCAATAAAATTCTGGCAAATTGAATCCAAGAACACATCAGAAAAATCATACACCATGATCAAGTAGGCTTCATCCTAGGGAAACAGGGATGGTTCAACATTAGAAAATCCATCAATGTAATCCACCATATAAACAATCTGAAAAAAGAAAAACCATATAATCATCTCACTAAATGCTGAAAAAGCCTTTGACAAAATCCAACACCCCTTCATGATAAAAGTCCTGGAGAGATCAGGGAAAACAGGAACATACCTAAACATAATAAAAGCTATATACAGCAAACCAACAGCCAACATCAAACTAAATGGAGAGAAACTAAAGGTGATTCCTCTAGAATCAGGAACAAGACAAGGATGTCCACTCTCTCCTTAGCTCTTCAATATTGTACTTGAAGTTCTAGCTAGAGCAGTATGACATCAAAAGGAGATCAAGGGGGATACGAATTGGAAAGGAAGAAGTCAAACTTTCACTATTTGTAGATGATATGATAGTGTATGTAAGTGACCCAAGGCTGAGAAGGTATCCCACCATAGGAAATGGGCTCTAAAAAGCCAGTTTATGCATCTGGGATAGGTCTTGGTCCCACTACTGGGGCCCGCAAACAGATCAAGCCACATAGCTGTCACCTGCATTCAGAGGGCCTAATTCAGTCCTATTCAGGTTCCCCAGCTATCAGTCCTTACATAGTCCACTAACTTGGGTCGTTGTCTCTGTGGTTTTCACCATCACAATCTTGACCCCCTTTGTTCATATGCTATCACTCCTCCGTCTCTTCACCTGAACTTCCAGGAGTTCAGCCCAGTGCTTGGCTGTAGATCACTTCATTTGCTTCTATCAGTTACTGGTTCTATAATAACAATTAGGGTAGTCCCCAACCTAATTAAAGGAGAAGGCCCATTCAGGCACCCTCTCCACTATTGCTAGAAGTCTTAACTGGGGTCATCCTTGTGGATTCCTGGGAATTTTTCTATCACCAGGTTTCTCCCTAACCCAATATGGCTCTCTCTATCAAGATATCTCTTTCATTGTTCTACCCTTCCATCCCTCCCTCAACTCAGCCTTCTCAGAACTTCATGTTCTCATCCCCCATTCCCTCCACTCTGTCCCCCTCTCAGTTTACCCAAAAGATCATAACTATTTTCCCTTCCTGGGGTCCTCCACATTAGAGTTCCTCTTTTTGCCTACTTTCTCTGGGGTTATGGATTGTAGCCTAGATATCCTTTGCTTTGTGTCTAACATCCACTTATGAGTAAGTACATACCATGTTTGTCTTTCTGGGTCTAGGCTAACTCACTCAGGATGATTTTTTCCTAGTTCTATCTATTTGCCTGCAAATTTCATGATGTCACTGCTTTTTTAAAACTAAGTATTACTCCATTTTGTAAATGCACCACATTTTCTTCATCCAATCTTTAGTTAGTGGGCATCTAGGTTGTTTCCAGGTCCTGGCTATTATGAATAATGCTACTATGAACATAATTAAACAAATGCCCTTGTGTGAGCATCTTTTTGGTACATGCCTAAGAGTGGTATTGTTGGGTCTTGAGTTAGGTTGATTCCCAATTTTCTGAGAAACTGCCATATTGATTTCCAAAGTGGCTGTACATTCCCACCAGCAATGGGGGGGGGGTGTTCCCCTTACTCCACAAGCTCTCCAGTGTAAGCTGTCATCAATGTTTTTTATCTTAGCCATTCTGACAGGTGCCAAGATGGTATCTCAGAGTCATTTTGATTTGCATTTCCCTAATGACTAAGGATGTCGAGCAATTCTTTAAGTGCCTTTTGGCCATCTGAGTTTCCTCTGTTGAGAATTCTCTGTTTGGATCTGTAGTCCATTTTTTAATTGGATTATTTGGTATTTTGGTGTCTAGTTTCTTGAGTTCTTTATGTATTTTGGATATAAGCCCTCTGTCAGATGTGGTGTTGTTAAAAATCTTTTCCCATTCTGCAGGTTGTGGTTTTGTCTTATTGACTGTATGTATCCATTGCCCTACAGAAACTCCTCAGTTTCAGGAGGTCCCATTTATTAATTGTTGCTCTCAGTGTCTGTGCTACTGGTATTTTATTTAGGAAGTGGTGTCCTGTGCCTATGTGTTCAAATGTATTTCCCACTTTCTCTTCTATGAGGTTCAGTGTAACTAGATTTATGTTGAGGTCTTTGATCCAGTTGAATTTGAGTTCTGTACATTATAATGGATATGGATCTATTTGAAATCTTCTACATGTTGATATTCAGCTATGCCAGCACCATTTGTTGAAGACACTTTTTTTCCATTGTACAATTTTGGCTTCTTTGTCAAAAATAAGCTGTTCATAAGTATGTGAATTAAAACCAGGGTCTGTGTTCTTTATGGTGACATACTTGAAGAAATTTGCCCTTCAGCCAGAAATCAGAGTTTCCAACAGGGCTCATTTATACAGTTAAGCAAGTGGAATCCGACCTGCATTTCTGAGCTTTGTGTCTCTGTACCACACAGTGCCCCCACAGCTGTGCCAGCCAGGCTGCTAGTGCAGTACAGATCTCCTGTAGAGGAGTGATGGTCCCTCAGTCCTGCATTGACCACTCTGTTTTATAATACAGTATATTCTTTCTTTCTTTGTTTTTTTCTTTTTCTTTTCCTTTTTGTGCGTGATGAATACCAAGTAAAATACATGGAGTTAAACTGAGTTTTCTTTTTCTGCCAAACATAGAAAAGAATGGAATTGGAACTGTTTTCTCATCCTGCTCTGTTTCACCCATTGGCTATGCTGATGGCTGTCATGGACATTTATTTTTCTGAATACAATAAACCAACAG